GCAGGGTAAGGGCGTCAAAGGGCTCGGCAAGACGGAATTTTCCAAGCTTCGTGTCGCCTGTGCGTTCGTGGCGCGCGGGCTCAAGCCCGAAACGTGGGTCGCCGACCTGTTCCCGGACACCTGGGTTGAGCAGATGAAGAAGACGTTGGCCGACCTGGCCCGCGAAAACGACGCCGGGCAGCTGCCTCCGACCAATAAGTCTACCAAGCGCAAGAAAACCGCTTGAATGTTCCCAGGCCTCCTGCTACTGTGGCCTGTTGCATGTTGTAGATGTTGATGCAGCATGCCTATGTTTCATACTGATACTGATGTCGACTTTTTGTTTCTCTCAATGATCCTGTTGTTCTCGGCCTAGCGGGGCATTCACGTGTCGTTCAAACTGAAGTAGACAATCATTACTAGCTAATGTGTTCATTACTCATCCTACGTAAAGTAGACAAGCACGCACAAAAAAAAACACAAACAAAGAGCATCAAAGGGATCCGACAGCCAAAACAAGGAAAACGGTATCGACCATTTCATCATCGAGTCCACGCAGCACTCAATCTTAGCATGCCGTCGACTAGGCCGTCGTGCTGTCCTTCTTCGACTTCTTGACCTTCTCCGTGCCGCCCTTGGTCTTCGTCCCCTTCTTGCCCCTCAGACCCTTCCTCCCCCTGTTGTCAAGATCGGCCTTCATCTGCGCGTCAATCGGCACCGCGATGTCCCTCGCTCTTAGTTTCGGCCCGGCGACGGGGCACATTCCCCAAAACGCCATCGTCTCAACCGTCGCTCTAGCGATAACGTCGGCATCTACTCCAGCATTCCCCCCCGGATATACCGTATCAAGGGCGGTCCTCTGGAGTGCTGGCGCGACGTTGTAGGCAACCTCTCCCAAGGGGCGGTCCCTGTTCATCTCGGCTTTCAGCACCGCCTCCATGACTTTTCCGAATACATCGGCGGTCGCCTGGCTCGCTCCGCCGATGATCGCCGCCGACTTCCCTTCTTCCACAGCATCCGCCAGCTGGGCATCGCCGTTCTCGACGAAGCACCACACAGCGCATGCGGATGCTGCTAACGCCCATGCCGCCATATCCGTCTTCTCCTCCTTGTCTCCCTCCTTCATCGCCGCTGCCGCAGCGGTCTTCCCATATGCAGCGCACATTGACACGCGGCCTATCATCGCCGACATCATGGACGCCGACTTCTCCCGGCCTTCCTCGGTGCTAGCATCGACTGGGTACCATATCGCTGGCAGGAGCGCGGCGTGGAGAGAATCGCTTGTGGACTTGTAATGGCGATACGCGTCGAGGATCTCCGTCAGCCTGTCACGCCACCACAAACAGGGCGAACATGAGTGACAACGACAACGACATCGACTTTGAATCGGAGGATTGCCGACTTACCGTGTCTTTGGAAGGAGCGTACCCCGGGCCCACATCACCGTCCACATCCCTGTCGGCAAGATCCTGACCTCCTCCCACACCTCCTTCCACCTCTCCAATTCGGCGCTGTCCAAGCCGGTGAGCTCGGTCATGAGCACCTTGCTCACGAAACCGTCGTAGACGACGTACGCGATGGAGTGAACGTACGCGAGCTCCATCTTGTCCCGCGACTTGCCGATGTATCGATTGATGCCGTGCACCTTAATCTCGCCGACCCACCCTTGCTTGTCGCCCGAGGTATCGTGTCGGATGCCATGACCCCTCCTCTCCTTGCCCTTCCCCTCCTCCTCCTCCTCCTCCTCCTCCTCTTCCTCCTGCTCGACCTCCTCCACCTCCTCGACATCCTCATCCTCCTCCTCCGCCTTCCTCTTTCCCTTTCTCCCCTTCGAGGAACCCTCGCCGACCGCCTTCTCCTTCCCCTTTCTCCCGGTCGACGCACCTTCTCCGACCGACTTGTCCTTCCCCTTCCTCCCCGTCGACGTACCCTCGCCGGGCGACTTCTGATTCTCCCCTTTCCCTTCAACCTCCCCAATGCCGCCTCGATCTTTGTCCGCCGCCGTCTCCGCCGCCATCCCCTTCTGTTTATCCGCCGCCTTCACCTCCGACTTCTCCCGCGTCTTCCTCTGTGAGCCCGCCTTCCCCTTCCGTTTCGACTTTCCCTCACCGACCGCATCACCGGTCGCACTAGGCTCTGCCGCGATGCCGACGAGTCCCGCCGAAGGCTCCACATGTTCCGTGTCGGAGATGGCCAGGGTTCGGGGATTGGCTGCATCCAGATGGGCCTGTATGGCAGCGATATCAGCGTCTGCGGGGACCTCCTCAACGGCGCCGCCGCCGGTGGCAAGCGCGGCACGAACGCCCTTCTCCGCCGCCTTCTCCACATCAGCTGCCACATGGGTGGGTGGTGCGACATTCGCCGACGACGGCTTAGAGCCAGAGCCAGAAGCCTGCTGAGTCCTCTCAGTCGACGCTAGTGCGCCCAGCTGGGCGCGCAACAACGCGGACTTTGGGTCTGCAGGAGTACGGGCGGCGACGACCGGCACTACACGTGGCCCACTGGCCGATGGGACGTCGACAGCAGGGGGGGCCTGTTGAACAGCCCTGTGGCCGGCTAGGAGCCTGAGCTGCTCCTTGAGCGCGTCCGCAACTGCCGCCCCTTTTCCCGCGCGGCCAACCTTGTCGGCAGACGGTACGTCGGCATGGCGCGGGACGTCGGTAGGTCGCCCGGCAGACGGTCCGGTCGGATGGCGTGCACCCGCGGGAGACTGGTGAGGAACCGCTGACGCCTCCGCAACCCCTGTCTTCGGGCCCTGGCCAGCTTTCGCGGACCCGCCAGGGGCCGTTTTGGCGGCGGCCTTCTCCTTGTCGCGCAGGCCTTTCACACCGCTACCCTGTCGTGGTGGCTTAACGCCGACCGAAGGCGGAGCCATTGGCAGTGCGTCATCAGTGGCATGCTCGTCGGCGGGACCCCCACCACCATGGCCCGTGCTGGCCGCTCCAACCTGAGCCCAGTGCTTCCTGAGGATGTCGACCACGCTCTTCCCCGACTGCTTCAACGAACTGCCGTCGCCGGCTCCCATGCTCCCACCGCCGCCAGACCCCCCGCCTCCCTTGCTCCGCTTCGTGTTCGCCGAATTGTCCCCGTCGCCCCCCCCGCCGCCTCCCTGCCTCTTGTGACCCAGCTTCAAGCCCTCCGTAGGTTGCGCTTGGCCGGCGTCGTTTGCCGACGGCGACGACCCACGCCGAGCATACGCCACCGTGCCGACGACCTCGGCCATTATCTTCAGTCCGGAGGCGAGGAAGGACTGCTGCGTGGTCTCCGTCACCGCCTTCAGCACGTCCTCCTTGAAAGACTTCAGGAAATCTTCCGGCAAGGCCTGCGCTGGGCCGGTAGGCGGCGGCGGCGGCTGGACTAGGCGGGGCGCGACGGCGGCGGCAATGTTGGTCTGCGCGGCGCCGATGTATTTGATGAACGACTCCTCCAACCCCTTCCTCGCCTCGCCCACCTCCGCCGTCACGTGCTCGGTCACTGTCTTCACCGCGGTCGCGCGTGCGACCGCCGCTCGTCCCTTGGGGTCGTCAAGATCCAGCAGCGTCTGCCTCGCTAGCTCGGCGAAGGACTTGGCCGATTGAATGGCGCTGTCCATGTTGTCGGTGAGGCCCTCGGTGATTGTGGTCGCCATGGTCGACGTGGCCTCTTTGAGGCGCTCCTCCGATTTCCGGTCGGTGTCGGCGACCTGGGCGGTCAAACCCTTCAACTTCTCGAGGAGCCCAGCTAATGCCGCCGCCAAGCTGTCGACCCGCCCCGTCTGCTCACCGAGCCGCCGTTCAAGGAGTGCATTGTCTGCACGCAATCGCCTGTTCTCCGCCCTCAGCTGATCGACGACGTCCAGCCGCGCCTGCCGCCCAGCCGCGGTGGAACCGGGATGACCGCTCGCCGCCTTCTTCCTCCTAGACCGCTCCCCGCCGGCCTTCTCCGCGGTGGCATCGGTATGCACATCCACGCCCCTCTGCTCCGGGACCGCGGCGTTATCCCCTTCACCGACCTCGACCATGCCACCACCTCCGTGAGCCGCCTCCACGCCGACCTCGCCGATATTCGCTGTCGCACCCTTCCCCTCCCCTTCGTCGTTCTCGACATCCGCCGATCTCCCACCCGTTTCCTCCGCTCCTCCGACAACGTACCCCTCCGCTCCTCCGACAACGTACCCCTCCGCCATTTCCACGTCCTCCACCTCTACCAACTGCTCCTCCTGGTGCTGCCTCTCGTGCTCCTGCGTCTCCTGCTCCTGCTCCTCCTCCGACTCCGACTCCGAGCCCGATCCCGACCCCGACCTCGACCCCGACATCGACCCCGACGACTCCTCCAAGCCCCCCTCACCCTCACGTTCCTCCTCGCGATCCTGGACCCCATCATCATCCCCGTGAACAACCTCGGTCCCGGTCACCCCCTTTCCTGCGGCCGCATCGGCCTCGTCGACGCCGACTCCCGACTTGCCACGCGCATCAGCGACGTTCGGGGCGACCCCTACTGGTACGGATGCAGAATGGACTTCCTCGCCGTCGTCGTCACAGGCGTCGGCAGCAACAACGGTTTTCCCCGACCGTATGAGCGGGACTTGCTTCTTGATGAGGGCTACCATCTCGTTCCGCAGCGCCTTCAACCCCGAGACGGTGGGCTTGTCCATGCTGGTGGCAATGCGACGGAGGTCGCCGGTCAGGCGCTGGAACCGCCTCACAACCCAGATCAACGCGCTCATTGCTAGCAGGCCGGAGCCCGCGTCCGAGTCCCGGACGGTATCGGGAACTTTCTGCATACAACAGTGCAGAGAGCAAGGATGAGGGCGGCGTAGATGTGACACCATATGACGGCGAATCGTCCGTAACTCACATCTCGAAGGGGTTCGTCGCAGTCGGCGAGCCTCTCCTGCACCTCGTCTTCGGACGGCTTCGCCCACTCCCATTTCCTACCCTCGCGCCGCAGCTCGGCCAGAACAGCGGTCCGGAAAAACCTGCAAAAGCACGGCAAGGACGGTCGGTTAGCACGGTGCACGCGTCGTGTCGACAATGTATGCGATGTCGACTAAACTATCGAGCTCACTTCAGCACGCGGATCGCCTCGTCGCGGTGCCACTCCTTCACTGTCTGCGGGTCGGCGTGCCGGATCGAGGTCCTGACCTCCTGCCCCGAGGCATTGAACAAATCGCCGGGGCACAGGATGAGAACGACGCTGCAATGTGCTCCCGGAAGCGGTGCGATGCTGCACAGACAAGGCACGTCGATGGCGCTCAAAACAAATCACCGACAAAGGTTGCAGCACACAGCAGGACCTCGAACCTGCTCACCTCGATATCAGTGGGATAACCGCCACGTCGGCGTCGAAAATCGTCGCAAAGCATGTGTGGTCGTCCTGACCCATCGCCGCCCGAAGCCGGCCGACTCCTATCGACCACAATCGCTCGCCTGCATCCGTTGAGCGGATCCATGCGTGCCTGCACGCATGCATGATTACAACAGATTAGAGAGGTATAGGTGCGCGGCACGACGGTGGAATGACGGGAGCCGAACGACTTCGGCACAACTCAGCGTCGTCGACGACCTAACGCATTACGTCGGCATCACCGATGTGATGTGCCTGAACTCTAAGCCCGTCGACATATACTACTGGACGCATTGAAACCCCGCCATGGCCGACCAGCATGGAATAGGCCCGTCGACGACGACATCTCAATAAGACACTCACTTGAGACCGAGTCCCAAGCAACGGGCGTTAAACTCTAGCATAGGGTTTGTCAGAACGGCGTAGTCGTGCTCTTCGAACTTGGCCGTGTGTCCTCTACCGATGTCTAGATGCAGGGGGAAATCTAGCGAGGTCGGCGCCGCTTCGGCGGCTTTCTGGCCGGCTGCCATGGCGGGAGAGCGAGGATGCTATGCTACAGGCTAAGGGAAGAAGCGGTGGGAGTATGGAAGGCGCCGAGGTGGGAGGAAAAATGAAAGAGAAACGAGAACGCGAAAATGAGGGGCCAGTCCACCTCCAACGAAGTAAAGCCAGGCGGAGCCACGCAGGCCCGGTTGAGCGTCGCCCAGGGGGCCGTGATGCCTGGCTCGGCAGGGCTCGTGCACAAGTTGCGTGGCACAAGTGCACCCTCGCCGCCGAGCCAACAGGTCGACGTCACGTGCCCCGGCCTCGGTCGGCCAGGGGACGCAACTTCGCGTGGGCGCGGTGCGACGTTTCGGCACCACGTGTCGATTTCGCAGAGGGTCGCGAAAGCCGTGCGCCCCGTGGCGAACGACCCAGGTTTTCGCTCGAGTTTCGGGGGGTACGAAATGTCTCATGCACGCGATGCGAAATGACGGGCGAGCACGTGGCGTCACCGCAACGGGTCGCGAAATAGTCGAGCGACCCGAGGGGAGCCCCCGATTTTCGCGTGGACCTCGCCTGCCCGTACGGGCAGGCCGCGATGGGTTACTAGGGCCTCGCGGGCACGAGGGAGGGGTGGGCTGCCTTCGCGGCAGGGTTACTTCCCCTCGCCCGAGGTCTCGCCAGCTCGCCGCCCCCACCCGGTAACGTGGGTCGCTGTTCACTCTCGGGGGGGGGGGGTTGCGGGGCGGCGGTCGTGCGCCCGGCCCAGCCCAGGGCCAGGCTGGCGGGCCCGCACGCGCGTCACTTGCCCGCCTCGTCAGACCCCTGTCCGTCGACCCCCCTCGTCGACCCTGGCAACTCGATTCCGTCGACCTCATTCCGCTGGGATCTTCAGCCAGGCAGTAGCCACGGTGGGGGGGGCAGTGGAGGAGGCAGCAGCAGGCGCCAGCACGGTGGACGCTGAGGTGGCACAGGAGGTGGCAGGGGCGGTGCAGGGGATGGCAGACGCCGTCCAGGAGGTGGCCGAGGCCGGGCGGCAGGCGGTGGCACGTAGTGCGACGGTGGGGATTGCGGTGCAGAGCGGTGCGAGGGGGTTGGTGAGAGAGCAAGTGGAGGCGCTGGTGGTGGATGCAGATGCACGGGTGCGCGTGCAGGCAGGGGACAGCCTGTGGCGCATCTCACAACGATGCCAGGTGATGGGCGAGTGACACGAGGGGCAAGGGGTTGAGCGGGAGGGGCTGAACTGGGGGGAGGAGAGTGGATGAGGGGAGGCAAGGGGCTGGGGGGTGCATGCTAGGAATAACACTTCACCACGAAGTTCTTCCCATGACTCCTCTCCGTACGCCTGCTGCACTTACCTTGTATGATGGTCTTCTGACCGAGCATTGTAGTCAACCCGCCCATGGAATTGCATTCGCGCGTGCTGGCAGGTGCCGCTGGAGGCGCTGCGCAGGGCGAACCCTCAGGTGCATGGGGATCGGGTGCTGGAGGGGTCGTACCTCTCCCTCCCACACATTCTAGTCAACGAATTGGTTGAAACCCAAGTAGTGGCGTTGGAGTAGGATTGCTGATAACCATGGTAATCAATTGTTGTTGTAATGTATCATATGTTTTTCATTCATTGGTTTCATTGCTTGCTCCTTCGAAATAAAAGGATGAAATATATTTGCTAGAACGTACCTGGAAAGTTGTAACGAGGAAGACTGTTTTGGGGGGCATCAACGCGCGACCCTCCACCCCTGCATGTCGCCCATCTCCCCAAACTCTACTGAACTGAATCGAACCATCACCCTTCAAGCCTCATCGCTCCAACCGTGCACCATTCCGGCAACGATGCCGCCAACCGTGCCGCCCATGCGCCTGCCAGTCGTCAACTGGCCGCTCAAAGCCGTCTTTTCTTCCCCTCCGCGCTGCACGGGGAAGCACCCGGCACGCTGAATTGCTTGTCACACTGTTGCTTGAAAAACCGCGAGTCCTGGGCTTGGGAGGGCGAGAGAGGGCAAGCGGGGCAGCACGAGAGGCAAGCCAGAGGCGGGCATGCGGAGCAGCGCGAGGGACAGCGATGCGATGGATGCGGGCGACAATAGGGTGAACCCATGGCGCGCGGCGCTGCTTGAGGCGGGAGCGGCAACAGCTGGCGTGGCGGTGCCGGTGGTGGCACGGCCCTTGGGTCCCCGGGTGAAACTCATCACTACCGGCATTGTTTTAGCTGTCAAGTGACGCAATAGTTGCACGGACTCGTCATAGTTCTCTCGCTATAGTTGTAAGGCCTCGCTATTGCAACAGGTTGCCAAGAATGAAAGTGTTGTGTTATTGATGAGGGTTGGGGTACATATAGCAAACCCTAACATTTGTACCCCCTAAGACAAGCCTCACTACAGGCTACAACATTTGACACACCCCCATAGCCTAAGTGAGGGGTGTCAAGCAAAACCAAAAGTGTACGGTCACAAGACCAGTCACGAAGAAACAAAGCTCAGGGTGGATCACAACATCACCACACAATCTGAGCACAAGCAACAGGGGGCAACAAGGCCAGTCCAAGAGTTCACAAAGGTGTATGGCAAGAGTACAAGCAAAGCAAGCGGTAAAATCAAGCCTACACACGACTAGAACATGTGTCAACAAGACCTAACTGCACACAACACCTCTGGTGGTCACAAGGCGGAAGCGCCTTGGTGAAGATGTCTGCAGTGTTGGCCTCGGACTCCACAAACTCGAAGCGAGCCTGTCCACGTCTTTGCAACTCACGCAGAAGAAAGTATCTGACGTTAATGTGTTTCAATATGCTCTTCAGTCGCGGCTCTCGACAGAGGAGAATCGACGCCTTGTTGTCAGTGAACAAGGTCGGTGCAGAGCTCGGCCGCTCACCAAGGTCGGCGAGCAAGAAGGTCAACCAACGCAGCTCCTGTGCCACCATGGCACCAGCGTAGATCTCAGCCTTAGCAGTAGAGGTCGAGACCGAAGAGGAGCGCGTGGACCTCCACGAAACAGCTCCGGAACCCAAGCTGAAACAGTACCCCTGAGTAGACCTGTGAGTCTCAGCATCGTCAGCGTAAGAAGAGTCAGAGAGACCAGTAAGTACGACAGACTGCTGCCCTCCAAGAACTAGCCCCACGCCTGATGTCGTCGCTAAGTACTTCGCCACCCTCACAGCTTCCATCCAGTAAACAGGACGGTGTCTCCCTAGCGCAACAAAGCGAGCAAGGATGCTGAGAGGGAAGGCGAGGTCCGGGCGAGTACAAGTCATCATGTACATGAGGCAGCCCACCAGCTCTGCGTAGGGACCACTAGACTCAAACGGCTCGTCAGAAAAGGGTCCAGTAAGTCTGTGGTCAACAGCAAGAGGCGTGCGCTGTATTGTGAAGTGCTGAAGCTCGAACCGCTGAAGAACCTGCTGCACCATGTGTGACTGTGAGAGTGTAATGGTGCGAGCCCTGGTGATCTGCAGGCTAAGGTAGTGGCGCAGCTCATCAAGGTCAGTGCACGTGTGTCTCTTCTGCAGTTCGGACTTCACGTCTGCCAAGGCAACCCTGTCAGCAGTGGCGAAAACCAGGTCGTCGACGTAGACCAGAACAAAGAAAGGTGTGGAGCCACGACGGACGAACAGCGTCGGATCGGCAGAAGACGGCTGGAAACCAAGGTTACAGAGGGTAGAACGAAGGGTTTTGTGCCACTCACGAGGAGCCTGACGGAGACCGTAGACAGGTCGCCTCAGCCTCCGCTGGGTCCCAGGAGGGAAAGTGCCAGTGAAGGCAGAGGGACGACGCAGCCAGACCTCCTCATGAAGGCTACCCTGAAGGAAAGCAGTGGAGAAGTCGAGAGAGTGTAACTCGTAGTCTCTCTGTGCTGCTACGCGTAGTAACACCCGAAGAGTGGTCATCTTCGGGGTAGGCGGGAAGGTCTGAAAGAAGTCAACTCCCTCGCGCCTTGAAGACCAGAGGAGATCCCGGTGGCCGCTTCACCCTGTAGATCCACATGCCATCGACTACGTTCGCCCCAGGGGGGTGAACCTCGTCGACGTAAGTGCCTGTGGATCTGTAGGACACCATCTCTGCATCCATGGCAGCTCTCCACTGAGAGGCCCAAGGCCCTGACACTGCCTCAGCGTAAGTGCGAGGAGTCAGTATGTCAAGGGCGTCGGGGTCTCCCTCAGGGGAGAGCAGCATGGCACAGAGATGAGGGGAAGCGGCTGCCAGGAACTCCAGCTCAAACTTCCTGTCCTCTAGGGCGTCACAGCCAAGGGCATACTCACCCCCGACGCCCAGAGGACTGGTAGGAGTAGCCACGAGACAAGTGGCGTAGTCAAGGCGGCGAGTAGTGGCGAACTCAGTGACGGCAACAGTAAGGGCAGAGACAGAGGACAGAGAGGCACGAGGGTCCGTAACAAGAGAGGCGAGAACACAAGGGAGAACAGTTCGGTACGTGCGGTAGTAGTCACTGACAGGAGTAGAGAGGGAAGCAGTGAAGGCCGACTCAGGAGGAGAAGGAAGCACAGACTGAGACGAACGAGGCGGACTAGGACGGAACAGGGCAGTACGAAGGTCAGTGAGAGCGATGGGGGACGAGGGACGAGCACGAGGAGAGCGACGAGAGGGCCAGGCGGGCAAAGGAGGGGGAGACAACGGAGTCGGAGAACGAGGGAGAACAGATGGGGAGGAGTCAGGAGGAGGAAACGTGGGACCGTAGACAGGAGGAGAGGGGGAGGAGGAAGGAGAGGGAGAGGGGAGACCGAGGGTCCGAAGGCCAGAGACAGGAGGAGGAGGTGGCTACGGCTGCTGCTCCTGGTGCGGCTGCGACAGCTGCTCCCGCGGCTGCTGCTGCTGTTGCTGCTGCTCCTCCAGCCGCTGCTGCTGCTGCTGCTCCACCTCCATGCCGCTGCAACTCTCTCTCCTCTCTCTCTCTAACTCCAGCTGCTCCTCATGGGCACGGCGAACACGAGTCTGGTGCCGGGTCGGGTAGGGGTGGGGGGAAGGGGTAGTGTCCGAGGCCGCGGCAGCCCCAGGACCACCCTCCAAAGCACCCGGCGCACCACCCCCAGAGGCAGTACCACCAACAGCAACACGGCCAGGCTCACAAGGACCCGAAGGGGGCGCACCCGCACCCCCAGACGTAGCACCCCAAGAGTCAGCACCACCTACACCAGCTCCCTGAATACGAGAGTCTCCTGCAGCCTCGGGCTCAGCCCCAACTCCAGCACACCCAGAGCTAGCACCGACAGGGTCCTCGCCACGAACACCGGATCCCGCACGGTCTGCCGCACGCTGCGAGGAGGACTGCGGGGAAGGAGGCTGTACCTGAGGGGCTACCGAAGGGGGAGGGGTAGCGTGGGACACACCTGACGGGGCTGGACCAGGGGGAGGAGGCTGTACCGGGGGAGCAGGAGGGGGAGCGAAAGTCAAGAAGAGAGGGGGAGGAGGAACCGGGAGACCTCGGCAGGGGTACCTGACGTAGTAGGGGACGGACTCATCGAAACTGACGTCACGGGAGTCAAAGAACTGGTGAAGGAGAGGGTGGTAAAAGGTGAAGTCAGAGGAGTCTTCTGGGAAACCAAGGAAGACACAAGGAACGGCGCGAGGCCAGATCTTGTCCGCGGAGGTGTCCGAACAAGAGCCAAGCAACCCCAGACACGAAACCGCGACGCAACACCAGGGGACTCGGTCGAAAGACTAGTCGGTGAAACCTCTGGCCGAGAGACACGTGGCCAGAGGTTCAGCTGGTGAGCGGCGTACCTAACCGCATAGGGCCATAGAAAATGGGGGGCACGGGCGTGAGTCAAGGAGGTGCGGGCGATCTCCATGACCAAGCCTATGCGGCGCTCAGCAACCCCATTTTGCTGTGGGGACTCTGGAAGCGTCTAGGACTGACAAATGCCCTGCTCGTGACAGAATCCAGCGAGAATGCCAGAACGAAACTCACCCCCACGGTCGGAGTGAAGACAGCTGACTCAACGACCACGAGTGCCCTCGGTGGTAAGCAACCACCTGATCAGCGTAGAACTCACCTCAAACTTCTTCGCAAGGGGGAACACTGTGGTTTAGCGGGAGTAGTCGTCAACGACCACCAGAAAGAAACGCTCACGCTCAGGGCCAAGGCGAGAGGCGGGGCCCCAGATGTCCAAGTGGAGCGTCTCAAAAGGCTCGATGGTCGTACGAAGGGAGGAGGAGTGAGGGGTGGCGCGCAGCCTACCCTCAACGCAGGGACCGCA